GTGAAGGCGAGGATTTAAAGGATATCAGTGAAAAACTCTCAGAGCTAATGACCAAATTGTCTGAAGCAGAGGGTAGTTTAGGTAAGCAATGCCGTCAAATCTATATCATTCTCTCTTTGTTTATTAATCAGCTACTCCTTCGCAGTTGTCTATTTGCTTTTATTCGCGTTTCGTTTACTTACAATTAATCGACATTTGTTCTCTCTCTTTAGCTGACAAATACTCGGATTATCGTAATCTTCTCAAGGTAATAAAAACCCGTGAGGCGTCACTCCGCGAACAACGATCCAAGAAAGAGTCTCTTTGGAACAAGATAGAAAAAGAAGAGCGTAAAGCCAGTCATTCAAAACATCCCGAGACTTTTGAACCAAAGATTACTGAGTACAAGGAAGAACTTGAAAGAATAGAGAATGAGACTATGGCTGGTACGAAGGTTTTGTCAAATCTTTTTGGGTAATATAGTCGAATCTATTTGGTCGAGAATGTAATAATATATATTTTCCTTTCTATTTCGATTCGTTAGCCGAATCCGCGCTAGCCGATTTCAAGCGCGAGAAATTTAAAGAAGCAATAACTACTCAGCTAGACGCTTTCCGTCTGTTTGCAGAAAAGTTAAACATCATCACTACCTCTGCAAAGGAGGTAGTCGATCAGCTTCCACTCACGCCAACCAAACCTGGGGAACCTAGACCTCTTTATGCAGGTTTGTGGTTTTGTTTAATACAAGTATGATAGACTGTTGGCAGATAGCACCAATATATTGACGTTCATACGACACTCGATTTCTTTCGCTTTCCCTGCTGGTATTCAGGAAAAGAAAAAACCGCTCAATTAGTGGCAAACGCAATGGCAGCTCTTGCACCCTACACTACCCCTTCTTCAACTTCTCATTTCTCGACTTCCCATCCATCCCCATCTCATACATCTCCTTCCCATACATCCGCCTCCAATCGCAGACTTTCACATCCTCCTCAATCTGAAACCATAGCAAGCTACTCACATTCATTTAATGCTGACGTCGCCGCCTCAGCTCCACCTTTAAACGTTATTCTTCCTAGCGCTACTCATGGAACGTCAAGGAATGAAGCAAATCTTTCGTCGTCGTATGCACAAAGTGAAGATTCTAGTGGAGTAGATATAATAAAGAAGGGTGATCCGATAAGAAGAGGGGTGTATGAAGAGGATCCCAACGAGGCAGATCATAGTGACTTGGAGCAGACCGATGTTGAGGTCGAGAAAGGAAGGATGGGAACTGCGAATAGTAGCGCGAACGCCGGGTCTAAATTCAAGGAAGTCCTTAACACGCCTACGAGTCCGCTTGAACCGATGAAGGATAGCTTGGAGAGCAACCAACCTCCTGTAAGTGAATCTACCGTGAAACCCGTATCACCCAAGCTTCCACCCCGTCCGCCCACCCCTGGTCCTCCGCATGCTCCTCCGATGTCTCCTGACGATGAAAATTTCCATCCTGCGGAAGCGTTGCCCATATCACCGGCTACTACCAACGAAGCAGAAAAGATCATTCCTATTTTGAACGAACCCGTAAGCCCAGTTGAGGACGTTGGAGGAATAAAAACAGAGATTAGTGAGGAAAAGAATGACCAGGGGAGCGCGGAAGTGAAGACAGCGGAAGTGAAGACAACGGAAGAACAGAAAGAAAATTCGCGAGATAAGAATAGGTTATCTGTTGATCATCACGGGAAAGATAGACATGTCTCGTTTAGTGATGTCGAAGACGAGATACCGTAGTCTGCAGAGGATTAGAATGGAAGATTCAGGGGACATTTTACGCTTGGCTTTTTCAATATTCGTTACTATCAAAAGTTTTGGTTTTTTTTTACGTTGCATTTTTATTTTTTTGGTCAATACGAAAATGTCAGACAATGGATTTGCTCAATCAAGTTTAAAATTGCTAATGCTTGTATCAATGTAAATGATGCATTAAATTTTTTATTGCACTGTCTCTTGTTTCATACTTCCTTTTATTATTATTAATAAGCAAATAAATGATGTATTATCGTTTCAGTCGATGTTATAATAATACAATAAGAACTAAAGTAATCTTGCAAATAATCATGCCATCAAAATTTTGACTATAGCCAAAATTCAATCACTGCACGTTAATTGGAGCCATAACTTGGCGAACGCATCATATAATTCTTATTCTGTATTATTTAGTTTTCCGTCACCTCATTCTGATTTCAAGTGATGGTTTTGTTACAGCATGTCCCATTTAAAAAAATCGCGTTATCTTTACAGTACCGTCGTCTCTTCAACTCTTAATACCACAGGCATCATTCCATCTTATAGTTGGTAAGTCTTCTCAATTCGTTGAATGAAAGAGATGGTGAAACAGTTCCTCACATCTGATGAAGTTCTTATCCTGCCTGCTTATGGTGTTTAGATGATGTCATTCATTTCACGAAACAGCTACTACTACTACTAGTACTGGTGGTACGTTGTTGTTTCCAAATCTACTCGGCTGTATCTGATAATGGTTTCAAAGGTGAATTCGTTACCAAAATTAACTTTCTCAACTATACTTTTTTTTTTTTTTAATTTTTACTCATCTCAAGCTCAAAATGTTTTAGTAAGGTCATTAAAGTGCCAGCAATTTCTATAATAATAACATTGTGAACAGCATTATAAATTTTTAGTTTGAGAGCTTCTTTATCACAAATTGCCCGAGTTTGTTTATGATGTTTACCATTACTTTTTTATTTTATTTATTATTTATACTCATATTAAGTATATAATGATTTTATCATTTCTTTTTATTTGAACTTTAAAAATTAAACAAAAAACTTAGTAAACGGCGAGACGTATTGAAGTCATGGAGAGGATTTTAGTCTAAAAATTTTATCAATTGTCAGTATAAACTGATTGTTGACAAGTAATGTCTTTAAATTCATCTCTAACAAATGGGCGAATATTCTGGTAAAGATATTTTGTCTTTTGTAATCCAAAGGAGGGGAGATTTGTACCAATATTAATATTAATATGGAAAAGGATTTGGTAAACACTTGCTTTTATAGCTTTTAACAATTAAATTTATTAGCGACCAACTAATACTAAGCTTTGACGACACCAGGTTTGGCTGCTTCGAATACAAAATGCCGATACTTTTGTAAACCACTCAATTTCTTAAAGAAAATTTCCAATACGGAATTAATACAGTCTACCAATAAAGTTTCGTGATCAATCCAGGTACCATAAATTTAATTCGATACTTTCATAATAATCGCAAGTCACTAAATACAGGTTAAAATCAAATGTGACATTATTTCTATTCTGTCCACCAGCGTTATCACAGGTAATCTTTAAATATTTTCACTTTTATTCAATCTCTTAATCCGTCGAACACCAGACTCAGTGTGCCGTTAGGGCCCTTGCCGATAATGTTGTCTTCATCGAGAACGTAAGTAATTTGTTCGCGTACTGCTTCATCTTGTATACCAAATACAGTAAATGCACTTTACGTGGGCTGAAATAATAAATCTTACTTACCTGTTGATCGGAATGGGAAACATGAACGTTTTGTGCCCAATCGTAACTGTAATGAGCAGTAGCAATAATCAACTTTACCTCCTGTCACAGGATAGATCTCATTTACTAAATTTCTCTGCTGTTCTGCTAATTCGTATTTTTGTTGTAATAGTTTCTCTCTAATTTTGCTTAACTAAATGTTTTTTGAAACTTTTCAGTAATCTTTCGCTTCTTCTTTCTCACGAGCATTATACTGTAAGCCATTCCGAAAATGTTGACAAGTATCGCGTAAATCCGTTCTTGGACTCATAATAATTTGAATATAAGACGTTAACTGGTGTCATAACTTGCGAGATGCATCATATTCAACGTGATATCGTACACCAAACATAAACATGCACAAAAAGTGTATATAAGGGTTGCAAAGGCGCAACAGAGCAAGATATTGCTATCGCTGGCAAAAGTGTAAAGTGCTTTCCCGCATCAGCAGTAACTATTTCGTAGAATCTTCGGCATCAGGATTTTTACACGTTTAGTGTAGTGTAATTTCCACTATTGTTACATTAAACTATACGATAAGTCACGGAATAAATCATTAACAGCGTATTTCAGAGCAACACCTTTTTGTTATGTGTTGCTTATTTTTAGTATTAGGTAGTATAGCGAAATTATTTATTTACACAGTGAAAGTCGATATAACGGACTGCTCGGTTCCAGTACTTTTGTCCGTTATATTGACGGTCCGTTAAATCGAACAGTGAGTTTTATACCGGACTCTTAACTAAATTTGCAAAAAGTCCGTTATAAACGATGATCTTTAATATTAATATCTTTTATTATACACGGTTATAACATGTATGGCATAAAACCTAACGATAAATTCAATTTAAGACTCGAATGTAAAAAATTCGTCGATATTTGTCTGCCTCTTTTGTTCAATGCGTTTTGCTTGAGTGCAGGATTAGCTCTCATACGTTCACATAGTTCTTTTTTCTGTAATGCTGTTAAGGTAACGCGAGTTCGTTTATTTACATCACTTTGCTGAGAAGCATTTTTTCGTTTATTATTTAAATTGATAGGGCCATAGGTCGACATTTGTAAATTTGCTAGATATGTGTAGTGGAAAATGAGAAAAAAATCTTATTCTTATACGTAATTGTGTATAACGGACTCCGCTATAATATAGCGGACTTCAGTATGGATATAACGGACTTAGTTACACAAAATCCGTTATATCAAGCTAAGCTAAATTAAATGTGTTCAGGCAAATTAGTCCGGATCCGTTATATCACTGTTTAATATAAAAGTCCGCTATAATACTTAGTAAAAATTCCGTTCCAGCAAAAAAGTCCGTATAAGGCAAAATCCGTTATATCGACGGTCCGTTATATCGACTTTCACTGTGTATTTTGTTGCTTTTGGTTAAACAGGTGATATCGATGTTTGTGCCACCGAACAAAAATCACTGTCATCTGAAAAAGAGTTAATCCAACTTGTGGAATCGACATCTTTATCATTCAAATTGCAATGCTCTCAAAATTGCGACTCCGATCAAATACAACAAACCCACCTTTACCCTTTACATCATCAGTATGTCATCCAATAACCTTAGGTGAGCTGTAATGCATCACGTTATGCAAAGGAAATTACGCGTGAGGACGCGGTATTTTAATCAGTTTACCTTCTTTCCCGTTATCGTAAACAATCCAAAAACAACAAAATGTCATTATATACCAGTTCGTCAAATACTAGCTTTAACATTATTAGCTCAATACAAACAAGGTCAAGTTCTGCGTAAGTAGATATGTGCAATCATCATTACTCTTTGTTTTTTTCGCTAATCCGGAGATATTCTTAGGAGTAGTGATGCGGTTTCAGAACAAATGTCAGACTGTTTCTTTTATCGAAACCTGTGGTGGGACAAGGGAGAATTTAGCGAAAAAGCAAAGTGGGAAGAAGCAACGTAAGTCTCTTTTCCTACTCGCTTGACGTTAACGTTTGTTTTAGCTGGTAGCTGATATAAATTGTTATTCATATATAAGATTACCTTATGTGCTTGCTAAGGGGATCGATATCGATGATTATGAAAGACGTGCAGAAATGTTTAGCGTACACAGATGTTGGGAGTGGGTAGAAGGAAATGTCGTAATCTATGAACTTCCTTCTATGCCACATGAAGTTTGCATCAGTGCAATTGTTAAGCAAATAAATAGACAATGCGGTAATGCTGATGGAACTAATGCCGAGATTTATGGTACTGGTTCTACTAGTAAGTATTAATGTCATAACATATTCCTTTGTTTGTAGCATTATATTAATTTTCATTTCTTAAAGCAACACGTGACGGAAACCGTGGAAAAGAAGCTGATGCATCGTTTCGTCCAAAAAAAACAGCTGTAACTGCACCAAATGGAAGCGACGGAAATGTAATTTTCTAGTCATTTTATTTGTTTTTGAACTTTTTGAAGTCAGTAATTTCATATATCTCTTTTATTTAGGATCTTCCTTGGCCAAATTTGGTCATAGAAGTAGCCTATTCTGAAACATT